TCAAGAAAATTATGCAAATTTTTTTCAGTTGCTTCCGAAACGGATCCGTTGTCCTGTCCAAGGATCTCATTACGTGTGCTGCCTGCCTGAGTGCAGCTGAAAGTTCGATTCGAAATTCACTTAGACTTGATGTACGCACATTTCTGGTTCCATTTATTAGATTTGTTTCAATTTCACCAACCCTCGAAAATTGTTTTTATTTCCTTCGCCTGAATTCGTAATTAGCCAACGCGGGTGGCGCGAACTCAAAGATTGAAGACCAGGAGGTATTCCTATTACAGTTATTTTGCTTTTTCGTTATTCTTCATTTTTCCCAGTTTCTGTTGCCTTTAGTTTTTCCCCCTTTTCATTATGCGTGGACTCCTGCTGGACTGCTGTACAGTGTTGATGTAATAAAGTAATCAACGAAAATTTTTTTTTTTTTTAATTCTGAACTAACTTTGCATTGTTTGCTTAATAGTATTTGCATTCATACAATATGTTTGGAATATAAAGTGTTTTTTGTTTTTAATATGTACGAATACTTCCTTTAAAACTCCTTGAATTTAGGGTGCATAGCTTAGACAGTTTTTTTAAAAGTTATTAAATTTTGTTCCAATATTTTCAGTCAATAATTTCAATTTATATATTATATTTAATATGGACATTCGCAAATGTTTGTATGTTTAACCTTTTCAAATATATTCCAAATTAAAATTGAAAAAATATAGAGCACTAAATAATATTTATTTATTATTTACAATTAAAATTAATATGCAGTTTTTAAATTTTAAATACCTAAAATATACAAATGAGTTTATGTCAATATTTTCTTAATTTGATTTTGTCTTTCTTAAGTATTATATCAAACTAAACATTTTTTAAATGTTTTCAATTAAAATGTCTTTTAATGTTTCTAATAAGAAAGCAGCTCCAACAAATATTATCAAATGTATTCTAATGCTTACACAGCTTGTTATCGTTATTTTTAATTTTTTTTTTCTAAAAATATCTTTTATAAATCTCTTTTAAGACTCCATTCCATCTTAAGACTCTGTTGATTCCCGCACTCTACAGAGTATTTCACAGCCTGGACACTTGCTCTAAGCTCAACAAATTATTTAATAAACTCATTAAGCGAATTCTTCTTCCGCTTGGTGCGCTTCAGTTCGATCTAAATTTTTGTAATCTATGTAAATATATTAATTATGAATGCGTTCGTAATGACTTTGTATCTTTGTATCTTTTGGCTAAGCCGCGGGGCTGAAAAGGAGCTGAAGCTGCGGCTGGACTCGCAGCAGCTGTGGCGCTTCTCACATTTTGCTATTGTTTGGCGGCTTATCAATGTCCGCCCAGGCGACGGGGCCGGATTAAATGATTAATAAAATAATATTATATAGAGGCAGCTACAAATTTGTGGCGCCCAGACGAATCGAAGTATGTGCGCTGCATAGTCACGCAGGCATAAAAATTCAAATTCGAATAATAACATAAAAATTGCAGTTGGCACTTTTTATGGCATGGCGAACGCGTGTCCTCGCCGCACACAGGATATCAAATTGTATAATATCAATTTCTAATTGCATAAATTTTGCGAGCAGCGAGCTCATCTTGTTAGATTTACGATGCGCCTGCCTTTGTCGACGTCTCGGGGGCAAATCATAAAAATTAAAGCGCTTCAAGGTGTTTGCAGCCAGGTTCATGTCCTTGCATCCTGCCAGCAGCTCGACTGCCGTCGTGCGTTTTGTTTTTATTTGCCCGTCGCAATGCCAACGAAATAAAAACAACCATCAAATGCCGAGTTAAAATGTTTTATTATTTGACTTTATGCCCTGCCCTCGCAGCAGCAGAAGCAGCAGCAGAAGCAGCGACAGTTCAAGAGACAATTGCCGAATTGTTTATTATTATTCTGTTTTCTTGGCAGTCCCCGATATCTCTGGCTCTGGCCCGTTTAGATGTTTGATGTCTTTGCAATATAAGCATTGCCTGCCGACTGCTTCCTGCGGAGTCCTTGCGGGCATCCTTAACGGCGCAATATCTCTAAAAATGTTATTAAAATCGCATCGAGCGTGCCGATAAGCAGGCCCAGCGCTTACTTCTCTGTCTCGCCTTTTTTTTCGCAATTATTTTGATTTGCTGCGGTTGACTGGCTGACGATCCCGACCCCTTGACAACTCAACTGCAGTACAGTAAACACTGTGGAGTATAGCACAACAAGGAGTAGGAGTGCATGAGACAAATTAAGCCTATGACTATGACGGTGCTGTGGGCAGGTATGGAAAGGTTATTGTCAAAGTCTACCAAGGACTGTGCTTAAGACAAACCCCGTTAAGGTGATATATCTAAAGCAAGTTCATTATCATGCACTGTTTATACGATAAAATTTTATCTATATTATATACTATATTATATTATATTTTAAGATTTATTTTCTCAATATATTTTAGAACCATGTTAAATGCCTTTAAGATAAAGACAGATGGGTAAATATTTTAAATACCTTAATTATAAAGATAGATGGGTATAGATTTTATGTACCTTATAAAAATAGATATTTGAGTCCCGATAATTCGAAATGGCAAGGGGATGTATTTCACACAGAAATTAAATTTTCGATTTACACAGAAATTCAAATTATCGAGAATTATCGAGAACGCATTTTTTTTAAGAAGATGGAATTTTTTCGAGTTATCGAAATTTTTAAATTAGCGAGGTAAGTTATCGAGACTCGACTGTAATATATAGATAAACATTCAAATAAATTACAATTCCTTATACTAAAGGACTTAAAAATAAATATCAATGATCTCAAGCAGGTGAATGAAAAAAGCTCTAACTATGTCTAGAATTTGTTTGTTTAATTTATATATTTAAGTACTACTCTATTATATTTAAGTACTATTCATAATTATGATTAGTTTTGAGGACTTTAAATTTATCTTCAAGGGTATTGTAGATTTTGTAGTTTTATTCATTGGGTATTACTTCAGGTCTTCTACTGATTTTCTGAGCGATACTTGGTGTCACCAGTATCGCAGTCAACTGGGGGTACTTAAAAGATATTAAATTATATCATATGCTGAAAGATACACGAAACTTTGACAGTTGCAAAGTCTCCATGACAACATGACATTCAGCTCTAATCGAACTGTTATTCACATTATGAAATGTTGAAACTGAATAAACAAATATAGATAACAATTTGTTGCCAAGCTGATTTCTACGGGTACATACGTGTATTTGTTCATGCTGCTGATACTACTCGTAATAATATCAATAACAAACAATAATCATAGTAGTTCGGGCAATACATTCAATGAATGTTGCATTGCATAAAGAGTGAGATGGCGAGAGAGGGAACAGGGGTCTTCGGCTTTGTTTGATTTACGAGCGTGTAGCTTTTAAAACCACATGAAATGCTTCTTAGCGTTACGTGCCAATGGAGGAAACAAGCACTACGACTGGAGTCAGGGCAGACAGCGACACTCTGATTAATCCACTTCAAATAGACCGAGAGTCCCGACAACTCTGACAGCCTTTCGATATCGCTACGTGCGCTTCAGCCTGATTGCATTTACGTGTTGCCTTTGACTCGATTGCAGGGCGCGTCGCATTTAGGTGGCAAATGTCGATTGCACGCTCTCTAATACACAGGTAAATGCAGTCGCGGTCCCCCACTCGGCACACCTGAGCTCCAAGCTAATGTAATGCGGCTTGATAGCTATCGCTAATCAGCTCCCGTTTCTAATTAACAACTGCAGCCTGCAGGGGGCGGGGCGACATACTGCACTTTTCAGCGCACCGCCACGCCCACCATTCTTGGTTATCTGCCGCCCTTGGTGAGAGAGACAGCGGCAGCAGCACGTCGGGAATTCGCAAAAACTTTAAGTAAATCTGCTTATCTTGTTTTTGGAAAACTTTTGCTACGTGCCGCCGTCATGGCGCGGCCTTTGTTGTGGCTCGACAGCAGAGCCACAGAATCGTCCCCTATGACACCACACTACACCACACCACACCAGACCACCCGCAATCGCATCCACCATTGAGTTCAACGTACAGCTATCATAACGTTGACAAAGTTTCGACATTTCTGGCATTAACTTGGCTACTTTGTTCCCATATCGCTCGCATTTTCAATCAACCTCAACGAGTGGGGGCGAGTGGGCGTCCGTCCGTTTTGACTGTTGCGAAGTGTGGCCACGCCCTTGCTGTCCAGCCGCCTACAAATTGTAACCGCAGCCGCCTACTTTATCGAGTGAAAATTAATTGAAATTCTCGCTGGAGGCGAAACTGCAGCCAAGTCTGCGAATGCGTTCTGCAAGTCTGAACTACCCTTTCCTTCAACTGGCACTGGGTATGAGCAAGGGGTATATGCTACCCGCTAATTGCAAATTGTGCATTATGAAATCAGCCCAGAGTGTGAGCTAATTACTTATTTACACTGCATTTAGGCACAAAAGCCAGCAAAGAGTTGCTCAACATTTCGGCAATTCGATTCGTTTAATTAAGCAAAGTGGATAATGCATGCGGAATTAAAGGGAAAGCGATTATAAATATATATATATTTATAGACTTATGTTGAATACATATACATATCTAATGAACTACAATCAAATAGCTATTTATTTATTTATGTGCTCAAGCTCTGGTTTGAATTTCTAGAATAATTATATATCCTTAATTATATATCGATTCAGTTACTCAGACTCGGAATGGAATCGGATTGAGCGAATACACTTAACTATTTATCATGTTGTTTAGTTTCGCATTATTATTAGTCTTCTGAGTCTGGGCTTTTACATTCTCTTACACATTCTTATCGCTGAGGGCCAGAGTCATTGTTCATCTGCCTATTTTTAAAATCCACACTTCTCGTTCCTAGGGGTTCAAGTTTCAATCAGTTGTATATTAACTATAAGCATATAGACATTTCTCTAGAAAATTATACTTTTGTCGCGTGCGAACGCCTTGGTTTCCTTTGTAATTTAGTTATAGACTCTTCTGGAGAAGTGCCCTATAAGTGCCTGATAAAATATAATTTTATTTATCTATAGGAAGACTGTCAACAGAATAGGCCGAAAAATCTTTCAGAGTGCATTTACTCTATATAAGATAATCGACTATGTTGGTAATAAAATCCACTATAATCGCTGCTGAAACTGTTAATGCTGCATCTGTTTCAGCTGCTCCTGCTCCTGCTGCTCCTGCGGCTGTTGCTGCTGCTGCTCCAAGTGCTTGCCCCAATTTATAGCCGAATGATAATTTTTTTGGCCATGTCGTCGCTTAGTGCGCGAGTTGCAGTGGTCCGTCCGGCTGCAATAACTCGCACCGGCTCGTCCTGGCTCGTCCTGGCTCATCCTGGCTCGTTCTGGCTCGTTCTGGCATGTCCTGGCACTGCAGCTGCCAGATGCCGCGTCCGGGCAATTTCTGTGTGGTGCATGGTAATCGTAATCCTTGACTGCGTCTGCAACAAAAAAAAGAAGAGGAATACCATCTATATGTATGCTATTATCTTTGAAATTGTCTGCCAGACGGCAAGAAATATGGATTAAAATGTTGCCAGCATCTGGGGGAGGGGGAGATGTGGCTTGAAGTCCTTGATCCTTGTGGGTCTGCGGCTGCGATGGACTTGATTTTTTAAGTGCCGCACAGCAATGCCACTGTGGAGGAGCGCAGCGCATTATGAACGTTAAGGCGTTTATGCCAAGTGCCACGCCCCTACCACTGACTGAATGCCCACGCCCAGACAGTTTACAATTATTTTTTTCGTCCGCACTGCTCTTCATTTCAGCTCATGCATACAAAATTAGTGGAGGCGATTGCCAGAGGCAACAGCTGCCAGAGAGTGGGCGGGGGGATTGTGAGCGTTGCACTTGCAACATTTATGGCTTACAGCAAGTTAATCGCACTGTCATCCAGCCACTTTATACGGCACGAGCTGCTCTGCCATCCGCGAGCCTGGTGCGAATAATGCCGAAACATTTTATAATACCCTCTTGAGGAGGGTACTCACATTTCATAGAAGGCATTGATAATTCCAAAAAAGAAGTAGCATATTTTTTAAAGGAAGACTGTTCTTGAATGAAAGTTTGAAGTAGATTGAAAAGATTTGATATGTATTTCTGAATTGAAATATTCAAAAACTTAAATGAGAGATGAAAATAGATTATTAATATTAGATTAAAATTTGCTTAAAAATTCGTAGTAGTCGTCTTACTGTATTTTGATAATTATAAGAAAAATATCTTAGTAATATCTAATATAAATAGATTGTAGATACAGATAAAGAAATATATATTTTACCAAGTTCCATTTTTGTAAGGGCATTAAAATTTCGTGTAGTTCAGATCTTTTCTCCTCATTCTCTCTCTCTCTCTCTTTTCTTGCAGCTGAGGCGGAGTCGCTTTAATCCGCTTATGCTTAGAGCAAGGGAAGTGAAGCATTCAAGCTGTCAGCTAAAAGCGAATCTTTCAGAATTGCCGTCCAGACTATCAGCTGGCAAAGCGCTTTCGCTTTCGCTTTCGCCTTGGCTTTGACTTTGGCTTTAGCGTTAGCTAGGCTAAATAATCTTCCGGCCATTTCGAATGATGTTTCCTGTTGATTTTTAATCAAGAGCAACTGGCGGAGGCATGCAGCACGTAGCAGCCACAATTGGTAGGTGTGGTTGCAACATAAAAACTGATTTTAATGTTGACCAAAACTAGCAAGGTATACGTATGTGTGTACATGTGTGAGAGTGTGCGGGTGTGTGAGTGTGCGTGTGCGCTGCCTTTGTCTTTTACAACTTGTGGCAGTCGTTAATTTTTATGTTTATGGCGCAAATTTTCGCCTTGCTGCACACACACGCACACACACACACACACACACACACAAGAGAGCTGCACAATTTGAAACCGCAATACTGGCAGCAACACCCTCTCGACGGTAGTTGAAACAATAACAATTAGCTGCAAGTTGACAGAGTCGTTGGCGACACGCAAAAATTAATTAGCAGGCCAAAAAATAACCGAACTTCGGCACTGTCATAAAATGCAGCTAAATCAGGACATTCGCAACAGTTGAAGGCGGAATTAAAGCTAGAATACGATGTAAAGCGCGATAGAGAGTGGGAGAGAGATAGAGTGAGTGAGATAAACAAGCGGAAAAACTGCACATTGGAAAGTTTTGCAGTGTTTGGGAAAAGTTTGCAAACACAGGAGACGCACAGGACACACAGCCAACACTGGATGGCGGCAAATTGCAAAAGGATAATTGCAAAACTAAATGCCAAACTTAAACAAAAAAGCGCAGCAGACACTAATGAAATTTCGATCAACTTTTTCTAGCCAGCCAGGCGTGAGATAGACAGAGAGCGAGAGCGAGAGCCAGAGAGTGGAAGAGAAAGTGCACTCCATGCAGTCAGTTGAAATATAAATGATGATTTATTGAATTTTAATTTAGTGCTCCAGCAAATTTGCCATAAATATTTGAGTGAGCGGGCCAAAATTATGCTCATTGCAAGTTATGCACCCGAAATAAATGAATGTGAATGCCACCCTGAAGGCCTCGCTTAAGTCTCTCTCTGTCCCACTCTCTGCCTGCCCTTATCCCAGTTCCGGCAATGTTGTACAGTTGCCTTTCAGTTTTTTAGCTGCATTTGGCGCGTGCCTTGCCCTACGCATGACCAGCTCGACTGCCTGCGTTGTCCTGGTTAGTCCTGCCCGCCCCTAATTTAGATACTCCCTCTGCAAATTCGCATTTTGGCATTTTGGCATTTGTGCGTTGTGCGTATGCAAATTTCGCCAGCCACATGTCATTTTTGACCATTTCCGCTTCAAGGCTCTAAGTAACAGCAACAAAAACAATCACAACCCCAATTGCACGCAATGGGGTGGCTTCTTATACCCTGTATTTTAGAGCAGAAGGTGGCTTGAAAGCCAAAGCAGAGGTAAGTTGTGAATTGAATTATTAGTATTAGTATTGAATTATTAGTATTAATACTATTACTACTACTACTATCATTATCATGATAATCCTGATCTAATGATTTTATGATCATTAGTTTTAACATTAGCATTAGCATTAGTATTACCATTATCATAAGTACTATAATTAGAATTGGGCTCAGCATTGATGTTACTATTAGCATTAGCATCAGCATTAGCATTAGTTATAGTAATAGTATAACTATGAGTATATATTAGCTTTTGTATTAGCATTGGTGTTAGTATACATTAGTATTATTATTATTATTAGAATTAGTATCAGTTTGTCCAATTTCATGAGCCTTACTATACATGCTATAAGTAATAAGTACTTGCATTAGTATTAGTCTAAGTATGTGTATGTATTCACATTAGTATTAGTATTAGCATCACTGCTAGTATTAATATAAGTATGAAAGTAAATAGTAGTAGTATCAATGTCTCTATTTACAGGGCATGTCAATGTCCAATAGTGCTAGACCTCAGCTCGAATTGTTGTCTTTGTTTTTTGCAATGGGGTGTGCTGAAAAATTTCGCAACTTGTTTTACCCACTGACCTTGAAAAGTGGATTTATTCAAATTGACTGCCGGCAGCTGTGCCCACTGGGGTGGCTCAGCATCTCAGCGTTTCAGGTTGCAATGCCTGCCGCTGATCCACCCTGCAATACGATTCAACTATATGAGATTTTGCAAAACATTTCATTTATGCAAAAAAACAACAAAAGGCAATAGCAACAACAACAACAATAAAAACAACAACAACAACAGCAAAATAAAACCTATTTGTACTCTTAGTCTTATCAACGGTTCGCTTATCGGAAATCCATTAGTTTGTTTGCCCTGATTATGGGCCCTGATTCGATTGCTCTGCTAATCGTTCGATCCCAATGGATTGCATAGCCTCAATATTGCCATTGTTTGGCCAAATTGTTTAGCTATCGATTTCAAAGTGAGCCGATTGACTATGCAAATCGCTTTATTACGCACAAGTTGCCGAGAGACACAATATGCCCATATAATATTTAAATGGGGGTACTTAGGTACTTAGGGGGAGAACAGGTGCTCGAAAATATGTTATGTTATTCGAAACTTTATTTTGAGAAATATGAAGAATGTATTTTATGACATAGTATAGAAGAAGATTCCGAGGTAATTATGTATTACCAAAACAGATTTTGAACTGAGCTGGAAATATTAGAATAGAATAAAATCTTCTATCTTTAATGACTAAATATTAAAATGTGTACTGCAATGCAAATAGCTGATATATAAAAAAAGTATAGCTGAGATCTTAATTTAAAAATGTTATGGTAAATTATATAATTTGCTACAGAAATGTTAAAGCCTAGACTTACACAATAAAAGTAAGGCGCCCAGAAAATGAAGATGAATGTGTTTGATAACGACTATGGAAAATCGTAAGGAAAGTTATTATTGATCCTCTTAATAGTATATAATTGTTTATGCAAAGTCAATTAAAATATATACATAAAAATATTAATATTAAACCAATCAATCTATAATTTTCGTGTAATATTAAATATAATATAACTAACATTTAAATATAATAAAATATTTAAGATTTAGACCTTAGCTACTCATGGTCAATCTTTGATTGAATAATTATGTTTCACATTTCATCGCATTTAAGGAAGAACCCTACAATTATAGATTCCTCATTTTCCTTAAAGTATTTCTTCTCCAATACTTTTTATACCCTGAACCCATTTTCAATGGGATATCAGGGTATAATGGTTTTGTTGAAATGTATGTAACAGGGAGAAGGAGGCGTGGCAGACCCCACAAAGTATATATATTCTTGATCAGGGTGACGAGCTGAGTTGATTTGGCCCTGTCCGTCTGTCTGTCCGTCTGTCCGTATGTATGAACGCGTCGATTTCAGAAGATATAAGAGCTAGAGACTTCAAATTTTTTTTTAAAATGTCCGTAATTACAGCGCGCATATCAAGTTTATCATTAAAAATCGATAACTCATCCCGATCTTTTTTTATCGATAAAAAACCTTATCGAAACCCAGTTATAAAATTATATCTTCTACACCTTTATTGCTAGAGTCTCCAAATTTTTAATGTATGCTTATATGCAATTTATACAATTTCGGTTTTTTGTTAAAATTTACCCCCCCACCTCTAAATTCACCCCCTCACCCTCACTTTTGTAAAATGCGTATTTCATATACTAGAGACTTGTGCTTTGGCATTTACATGCATATTCATGTTATAATCATAATCTAAAAGTTTCATGAAGATCGTACGTCCATAAAAAAAGTTATTAAACAATTAAGTTCTCATAGTAAGCGCACACTGCAGCCCATGCGTGTTTATGCGTGGTTGCTTGTATGTGTATGTGTGTGTGTATGTGTATGTGTGTCTTTATGCGTGTGTGTGTATGTTTACCTGTGTGTGCGTACGTGCGTGTGTGTGTGTGTGTGTGCGTGTTTCTTGTGTAAGCTGAAAGTCGCGAAAAAGTATTGAAATATCTATTGCTCCAAGGGTTCAGGGGATCTCGTAGTCGAGCAGTCTCGACTAGAGCTTTCTTACTTGTTTTTACTTTATTTACGATTTTACGCCAATTGGATAATTTCCGTATTCTGCTTTAAAAAATCTAGTCCAATATTGATCTTTATCATACTGTGTGCAGCACACTAATTCTTTTTCCAAGACTTTAAAAGGGTAAATCCACATAAAATATGAAACAAAATTAAAAACTCAAATAACATTTTTGTATATTGCTTACTTCAAGAAAATTGCATTTTTATATAAAAACAAGTAAGAAGACTCTAGTCGAGACTGCTCGACTAGGAGATACCCTGAACCCTCTAATTTGATATACTACGCACTACGCACGTATTAGAACGCGCTCTGCTAACTCCGCAGTAAGCAGCGACTGCACTTGGGCTGCGCTGCAGTGTGGGCAACATTATAAGCATTTATTTGTTGAATAATTTAATTTCTAGACGTACAATCTTAATGAAACTTTCAGAGCGTAATCATATGGTGAAAATGTATGTACATTCCAAAGCACACGTCTCTAGTACTTGAAATACGCCTTTTACAAAGGTGAGGGTGAGGGGGTGGATATAGGGGTGGGGGGTAAATTACAACAAAAATCGAAATTATATAAAATATATTTAAGTCTACATTTAAAATTTGCAAGCTCTAGCTCTAAAGGTGTAGGAGATATAATTAAATAACTAGCTTTCGATAAGGTTTTTAATCGATAATAAAATAAAGGGAGTAGTTATCGATATAAAAAGAAAAACTTGATATGCGCGTGATACACACGGACCTAGGAAAAAAAATTTCAAGTCTCTAACTCTTATATCTTCTGAGATCGACGCGTTCATACATACGGACGGACGGACGGACGGACGGACGGACAGACAGACGGACAGGGCCAAATCGACTCAGCTCGTCGCCCTGATCAAGAATATATATACTTTGTGGGGTCTGCCACGCCTCCTTCTGCCTGTTACATACTTTTAACAAAACCATTATACCCTGATTTCCCATTTTCAATGGGTTCAGGGTATAAAAATGCATGGAATATTTGAATTTTAGCTTTTCATTTGTTATAGTTGAAGGCGTCCAAAGAAATTTGCAGGCGTAAAGTTTGAAGATATTCATTAAAATTTCGAATAAAAGAGAATGAATTGGATTATTTATTGAAGTTCTGTGGCGCAGCTGCTGTTCACTGGCTGCAAATGGCAAATGCAATAAAACGAAATTAAATTGCTATTTTTGCATACAGACGGGCAGACACACATACTCACACACACACAGACACACATGTGACCATAAATTTATATGAATCCTTTTGGCGAATCCTTTGACAACAGCTGGCGGCAGCAGCAGCCGCAGCAACAGCAACAACTACAACAGCAACAACAACAACAACATAAATGAAATAGTTTTCTACATGAAGCTAATTGCTTGGCGCGTTTATTAAAATGCATAAATTAATTGAAGAATTTGGAGTTTTAGAGCACCTTTATGAGGCATTTGGCCAAAAGGGTTCTACGGACACACGCCCATGGACCTTTGTGAGCAAAAGCAATTAGACATTAGGCAACGGCGTCGCATGTGTGCGAGACGTGTGCGTGTAAGCCCACTAAAACCCTTGACAAATACACTCGAAATGACCGCAATTATGGAAGAGGAACCCTCATACATAGAATATACTCTATACATTTATGTATACCTCCTTTGGCCGCAAATCAGCGCAATTAATATTAAGTGGATTAATATTTAATGACCAGTGCAGGCCAGCAGGGTCGCAGAGCCCATTTCGGAGTCGTAGTCCCATATGTCCCCTGCTCCATTGTATCATAATCGCACTCTTAACTTAACCGTTATGCGAGCATCGTTGCCTTTATGGTCGCCATTTGGTTGTTGGCTGTCATATTCTAATTACAGCATAACACGCGTCTATTGCCCAGATTTTGATGACCTCCGACCTATAATTATATAGTACACACTATCGCACAAAATTGAGCCAATGGACGTGCATTTTACGTGCAAGTGGTCCATAGACGAGAATATAAACGAATAAAATCCCAATTGAATGGGCGTCACTAATTGATAAATGGCTCTTCTGCGTGGCTGCTTCCCATATAAAGTATGTCTGTGTGTGTGTGTGAGCAAGTGTGAGAGAGGGGAGACAGTCATGGAAAATATTTACAATAATTGCAATTCGCATCGAAATTAAAGATAAGGAAACTGCGTTGCAGCGTCAGAGTAGAACACGTCAGCCCGAGGCAGACTGGGATTAAGAGAGACAGTAAATGAGAGAGAGAGAGAGAGAGAGAGATAGAATGTCTAGTGCGTCTTACCGTTAGTCAGCCTTGGCTTAGTCAGCAGCCAAAATGGCTGCCCTAGAGGAGAACATGGCCTCCCACAGTCAACCGGAAATCGTGTGCAACGGGCGATAAATCCCGACGTAAGCAAATAGAAATGAAAAATATGACGTGTTTCACTACAATGAAACGTGGCTTTAATACTACTTCAGTTTTAGTACCGCCCGATAAGATATAGACTACATTGTTATGTAGATCAGCAATTCATCAACTGCAATGCATCAAAATAGTCTTATCATTGGAACTAGAGAGAGACAGACCTAAAGAAATCTTTTAAAATGCCACAGATTATAAATATCAGATATAACATGTTATAGATATCTATCAAGTGCAATATATCATAAAGTTAGAGAGAAGAAGTACAAAATTCTCTAGCTTAAATATACCAGATATGACGTACATGTAGGCCTATCTAGTACAATAAATTATAGACAATTTTCGGCTTAACAAATTACATAACCCTGAAGGCAACAGTAGTTCTTTCAATAGAAAGCTTAACTAGAAGATTCCTGGCCTGATAGTAAATAATTAAATACGTTTATTAATAAATTAAATTCTTTATTGAGAAAGCACTATTCCCACCCCACGTATGCATATAGCAAACATTTCGCCTTTGTAGATATTTCTTTGTCCCTTTTCACAGCAATGAAAGCGAATTATTATTTGCATAGATCAAAGATCCAGCCGCGTCACTCGCACTCGAATTTGTCATATAGTATAGTCCAATTTGTGTATACTTAGTTGCTCTATATGCCGCACTTGACGCTTTGTAGTCAGACTCGCATTCAAAGTACACCCGCAGTTCGTTATCAGCTAGACGAAGAGCAAGTAGACAGCTGCGATTTGTTTTGAGAATTTTTTTGCATGCTAAACATGAGGAAAGAAAACATGATATACTGCGTATATTGGTTGACTTTATTTATTTATTTATTTAGCTTGGTAACATAATTATTTAAAGATATATTTGTTCAAGCGAATGCTGCTTACTTAAACTTTATCACAAATATGTGAGTGTGTGTGTATGTGCATATAGTATGTGTGTGTTTGTGTTGATGTAGTAAATAATTCAATAGTCGATAGGAAATCAGATGTTACTTCACTTTGTTTTTGTTTTTGCTTTTGTGGCTGCTGCGCTTCAATTTATTATTATATTAAACACAACTCAAATGACAATTTTAATTTACAGAACGCAGCGTTTCGGGGGTTTATTTTCGTTTTGGAATCTTTGTAATACTAGCAAATTAACAGATGAGTGAATTTTGATAAGAGTTGCGATAGAGAGGAGATAACTGCTTATTGCTTCTGCAGATACTCGTCGAACAGGTAGACCGAAAGGGCGGGTTCGCGCACGCTCACCAACTTGGACAGATCGTTGGCATAGCCAGAGAGGGTGCGGACAGATGCTGCCTGCTTGCTCAAGAAGTTCTCCTGCAGATAGTGGGCCATCTCGGGATCGTGGATGCGGTTATCAGTGGTGCCGTGGGTGGCGCTGGTGTGCACATGAATGGCGCCGTTGGTCAGCTCCTTCTCGTTGTCCAAAGCACGTGCCAGAGACTCCAGTTCATTCAGATGCACCTCTGGGGGCTGGGCAACACCCTGCTGATGGGGCTTGCTGAAGTCGACAGAGCCACCACGACGAGTCACCTGCTTGATGAGGGCAATGGTATCGTCGAAAGCGCGATCGGAGAGACCCTGATAGAGCTTCTGGAAGCCGGGGCGGTTCATCTGGTACGAGTTAAAGTGGGTGGCCATCAGCAGATATTCGTATGATTTCTTCAGCTGCAAGTGGATGTAGTCCTGCATCTTATGCTCCAGATGTCCAATGGCAGCATAGCGCGCATTACAATTTGCCACACCACCTGAGAAACAACAAAGAGAAGGTAAAATTTTAGCTCTGTGAGTTGGGCTTGCCTAATTATAATGAGGAAGTGTTTTTTGCTTACTTTCGCCTGAGAAAAATGCCATGAGCGCTTGTTTGTTTATTTTTAAAAATAAGATATTCAGAAAACAATACACAGTTACAGTTAAAACCGGATCAACTGCTCATGCACACAAACACGCACACTAACACACGCTCATACTAATAATCATTCAATCGCTCTCTTGCACTCTCTTCCATTCGTGCGCTCATTCATTCTCTTATTTCATACAGTATTTTTTCTTTTTGTACTCACCGTTGGCACTCTGTCCGCAAGCAGACTGAACGTCTACTTGGCAGCTCTGCTCTTGGGCCTGCGCAAGAGCGCAGAGGCCCGCAACCAAAACGAATGCAATGAAATATTTCATTTTATTTGTTTTCACTTTCTAGAATAAGAATAAATGGAATTTCACAATTAGACGTATTTTGAATTTCAAAATCTGTCACACTGTTTCTAGTTAATGTGATTCAATGAAAAACAAATCAGCCACTTTTGCGTCGTAGAGTTTTCTTGAACATTCTTTCTCTCTCTCGCGAACGATTTTTCAAGTCGCTTGCAACTGATTTGTTTTTAATAGTTTAAATATATTATTTTTACACTATTTATAATCGTAGCAATTAGCCAACAATTGAAGTGTACCACTTACTTTAAATAGACGCGTTAAATTTAATTAAAAGTTGTTCTGCTTTGATTTTCGTGTTTTCTTACGTGCTGCTTGTTGGAACTCAATTTCTGAACTGCTGTTTATAGCGTTGCGTTTGTCTCGTTTCTATGCCTCGGCAGCACCGCACTCAGTGTGCCAGTGTGCGTGAGTGCGCGAGTGTGAGTGCGAGATAGAGAGTGTATGGGTATGTTGTTTTGCACTCGTCGTCGTCTCTCCGGGGGATTTCGATGTCAGTCAAACATGGCTCAGGCAATATGGCCGCGTCTCTGTTGTTGTTGTTGTTATTATTCGTATGTTGTTTTTCTTTGTGACTCAGGCACTCACAAGTTGCTTGAGTTCTCAATGCTGAATAGAGTTACCAGGCTGTTGAAAGTTCTTGCATTAATTTGAATCTTTCTATTTCATCATATGACTAGAAATAGACTCGAGCGAACCTCAGTTATACGTGCATTGAATTCAAATTAATTTTAGTAAGGAGAAATATGTATAAGCAACCCACGTGGGATAAAATCTATATCAAGCTGTAACAATGACTACTTAATATTGAAAAGCAATCTAATGCCATAAATTTTCAAAAATAAACGATAGTAATCAGAAGGTATTCGGTTATTACATGTTTTGTTATCATTTGACATGACTCTTATCAAACATCTGACATCATTTATGCTATGACTACTCTGCATTAGTTGTCATGTTCGCACTGATAGTCAATCAATATCTTGATTGATCCTACAATATCCATGTTTCTGCTTCACGTTAGGTATTAAACCATCAAATTTTATTTATATTAAACAAAGGTGCATGGCAACCCATGGCATGTAGCAGTCAAAACTAAGAAAAGAACAAGGAGTCGGTTTTGCCATACCCTAGACGGTAGACCATACATCACATAAATGTATAAATATTTACTTAGAAATAAACATTCATTATTATTATGTATTGTTATATAAAAATACACTGTACCATGTATTCGAAGCTAAACAATTTGTTACAATTCATAAAGTATTTCTTCGTTACGTCATTCGTATGTCTAAGTTAATACACCCATTTTACAGGGTAAATGTGTAACAAAGAACAGCTGACTGAGCAGCTTCTGCGGTCAAACAGCCATACGGCCATATTGGAGTTAGGCTAAATTCAGCAACGATAGTGCTGTCGAACAGAGGAGGTTTTATATTGAGGACGTGTGGAAGTAAGTGTGGTAAATCAAGTACATGCGTCTATCAAATGGTATACATTATATTTTCAATGCGATAGCAACAATAACAAGCCGTACGACGACATATTGAATTGATAAGAGCGAACTCACACGCACACACACAGAGGCTCACATACAGCGTACACGTATTGCATGTACTCACACAGCGCTCTTTGTGAGCGAGAGCGGCCAACGACGAAGCGTTTAAAAGTGTTTTGCTCGACACAGGCACCGACAGTTTGCATTCACATAGCGAAGGCGCGTAAAGCAGAAGAATTACGAAAAATTCCAAGTACGTGTGAAAAGTTTGTCAGGGTATATAAAACGGTATCATAAGGTACCGGAAAGATCAAATAATCCACCACTAAGTCCAATTGAATTGAAAAAGCAAGCTTTGCCTTCTATGCCAGTGTGCATAACGGTAGCTTTGATAGACAATTGAGACGAGATAACAGATCGCCTAGAAACTTCTCTATTTAAAATTGGTCGAGCAACCAAATTGTTTCATTTTCATTTGTGCATTTAGACAGAGCACGTAAACAAGAACTGTTTGCATTGATTTATTAACTGAAAGTGATATAATTTGTTCTGTGATTTTGTGTAAAGACATCAACAACAACAACAAGAGGAACCCGAAGAATAAAATGATGAAATTTTGTGCGAGTTTTTGTCTACTGACCGTTCTGGCCGCCATCAACATGGCTCAGGCAGACAATTTGCAATGTAAGTAATTTAAATATATGATATTTAGTAGTTGCTTCATTCTTTTAAACAAAACAAAAATATTTTGAAAAAAAACAATAAAATTCGACGCAATTCCATTCAATGGCGACGAACCGTTCGCCCAAACAAAGAGAGAGAGCGTGAGTGAGAGTTTATTAAGAGCAGCGGGGCGTGCGCACTCGAAACTAAGAGAGCGCTAGGTCAGCTGTTGTGCTGGTCTGCTCTCTTCATCGTATAATCTGGAAGTTATTCAAATCTCTAAATATTAAATCAATTTAACGAACTTTCGCTAACTTTGGTGGCTTTATGTAACAGATTATCTTAATTTCCATATATTGTATGTGTGAAGTTAAATTTCTGCCTTTCGCGTCCTCAGCTACAATTCCCGCATTATGTTTTTGTTGTTTTGCACACGGCTCGAGCTCAAGCTTGAATGTGCGAGTGAGATAGAATTAGCTGAGTTGGACTAGAAGCGGGCATTTTTGCACACGGCACGAAACCAAAACAAATGCCGTTGCTATGGCGACACTTATGCGCGTTATCGCAATGCGCAGAGAGCAAAAATATGGAGATGAGAACGAGAGAGCGAACTTAGGAAATAACTGCATTTTACTTTTGCACACGCTTTACTTGTTCCAAGAAACATTAGTTTGCATTATACACATACATACATGCATACATATGCAATAACCACTGCAGTTTACGTAATGCCAACGCTAACCACCCCTCGCACCCCTTAGCACACAGAGATCAACAGTCAAGTGTTATCCAGGACTTGAAAAATAAAAAGCAGCAAGAAATCGAAAGTCAAGATTATAATCAAGAAACCTCAAAGTGTAGGTGCTGCATATGAAATAAGCATAAATTGTTGTGTAATTTGAATGTTTTATATTTATATTAATGACTTAATTTCAATTAATCTCTCTCTCTATAGGTAACATCAAGTCAAATGCTGCATTCAGGGGATGGCCGGACATGAAGGAGCCCTGCATTAGGAGCATGCGGGAGCAGATCCAGAAGGAGATCAATGCCTCCATGCAGTACCTGGCCATGGCTGCCTATTTCTCGAACGATACCGTCAATCGTCCTGGTTTCGCCGAACACTTCTTCAAGGCTGCCAAGGAAGAGCGCGAGCATGGAGCCAAGCTGATCGAATACCTGTCAATGCGTGGCGAGTTGACCCACACCGTGAAGGACCTAATCAAAGTATCGGTAAGTAATTTGATAAAAATTCTTAGTAGATTTTCTGGGACCTTTACGATTGTCCTCTTATAGCCTGTCAAGGTAAAGAACTGGACTGGACTGTCTGCTTTGGAGGATGCCTTCAAGCTGGAGACCGAGGTCACCAAGTCCATTCGCGATCTGATTAAGACCTGCGAGGGCAACTCCAAGAAGGCTGATGATAACGATTACCATCTGGTTGACTACCTGACCGGTGTCTACTTGGAGGAGCAGCTGACTGGCCAACGCGAGCTGGCTGGCAAGATCACCACATTGGAGAAGATGATGTCCTCCCAGGGAGAGTTGGGCGAATTCCTGTTCGACAAGAACATGTAAACTACATCCCCAAGTTCAACTCATTGTCTAGCAAGCTATTCATAGTTTATACTGTGCTCCCCGAAAGATATCTATTTAAAATTAACTGTTACTAGCCTCTGCAGCAGATACTCCATCGCATCAAGTATTTTGTTATCCACACGATCATTTTTGCAAAAATTAGTTTATAATTAAATCATACTCAAAAGTAAAATACTTTCTCTTTTTTTATCGTTTGTTTCCGAATGAAAATCAAGTATTGGCCAAATAAATATATATCACGTTCTGTTTGAATTCAATTTCATTCCAAGGCACAGTCAAATCCACGAGTTCTTTTCTTATCAATCCCGCTCTCCACCTGGGGCTTAGCACTAATCAGGCGTCATACCTTTATCAATTGCTACAAGTATGACAGTCAAAAGTTGTGATTTATTTACAATATTTGTTACGTATAACTGTTTCGTTATCTCGCCTCGAGTACACGTGCTCAAAAGTTCAAATCTACGTTCTACGACTACGGGAAAATTCCCGAGTCAGCAAATCATTGCAAATTGAATAATCCATATTTAGATATAAACAAGTACATGATATACACAAATATATATATTATAAAACGTATATTTTTCTGTCAATTAGTCAATAATAATACTAACTTAATAAAGACTACGATCAAACCAAGTTTTATTGTCTTTCACTTATACAATTTAATTTTTTTTGTAATATTAATGGAAGGTAAGTATTTGGAAAGTGTAATATATTTATTTTTTCTTACAATGTTTGGTATAAGAACATAAGTTGTAAAACTTTGTTTTGTATTCGTAGCGAATGTAGGATTTATTTATTTATTTATTTGAAGCTAATGTCATAAAAAAAAAAATTGAAAACTGAAACCCTTCTAGTCAAGAGAGATCTTAATGATCTTGGTTTTGATTTTAGTTTCGATCTTGGTTGTCGCCTTGCTCGGTCTCGCGCTCCTGGATCTTGGGTCTTAGGTCTTGGGTGTGGGATTTTAAGATTTGGTCTTGGTTTTAGTTTTGGTCTTCCTTCTTGGTTCTTGGGTCGTGCGTCTTATCTTGTAAGTCTTCGGACTTGGGTTTTAGGTCTTGAGTCTGATGTCTTATGTTTTGGAACAATGTGGGTTCTACCTGACTGAATATATGAAATTAGATAGTCAGAATCAGTTTGTGCAGCTTAGCCACATATTTAACCCTCTCTAAAGCTCAAGAAAAATATAATAAATTTTGTTTTTTTTATTTTTATTTTTTCTATATATTTCTAAAAATTCTTTTAAAAATACCTACTCTTAACTAGTTAAATTTGTCTTCATATCTTCTCATTACAATTTGAAAAAATGTCCATCAGTTAATACGTGTAAAGCTGTATGGAACAAGTGTTTTGGCTGGCCATTGAGGTGTTTTATGGTCACGTATTAGCCATCTGAATGAAAATCGAATCTGTAGAATCACATTGTGTATTCCATTTGATAGACGTCCCATTGGCTCTATTGACCCTTTCATGTAGCTGAAAGCGCTGAGGCTAATCTGATTGGGGAGTACAAAAAGCAAAAAGGATGCGAGAGAGTCGGACATGCTTCGGTTGGCCATAAGGAATAATTCATAAGTCACTTGTAAAAATGTCCCAGCAGAACAAGCCCAAGGGCTAACGGCAATCGGCCAACCCCATCCCCATCCAACTCAATCGAACTAATGTGTGTTCACCCTTTCGTCCTGCTTGGTGATTGACAGGACATGGCATGCATTGAATTATGATAAATTGTGGCAACTGTCAAATGGCTCTGGATGATGTTTCTTTTCTCTTGATGCTGTTGTTGTGCTGACTGCATCCTGCCTCCTTCCTATCCCCCATCCTGCGAAGCGTGACTAAGGCGCACTCCGATCTCTTGTCAATGCCACGAAATGGGTTGTGCATTTTAAACAATTTCATAAGCTAATATTTGCACAGATGTACCGCAAGCCTTTTAAACTCGTCCGCCCGGACAATGGGTCGCAAATTTCTTGCCAATATTCAAGCGCAATTTGAGCTGAGTTCGCGCCGGGTCTGGGCGAGGTCAAAGTTCAGTCCGGCATACAAATGGACACACTATCAATCCTGGCCAAGCGCCACAAATGCGCTGATAGCAACTTTTCCCATTCGACACGCTTTTTTGCTCTGCTCATCATTTTTATTGCAAGTGTTTTTTTTTCTTCTTCTTCTTCTTTTCTTAGCATGTGTTTCTATATTCGAGCAAGGCGTGAATTGGGCGTATTCGTTATTGGCTATTTTCAGCTCGTCTAGAAAGTCTACAGGAAGAGAGACTCGAAATTCAAAAATTTCTATATATATATATCTTGGTATATTTCTATATATATATATCTTGGTATATCTTGGTAAAACGAGATATTTATATTAGGGTCGCTAGGGTTTATAGCTGTATACTATATGATTCGCCAATCACATGTAGTAATAGATAGACGGATAGATGGATGCTTATATGATAGATAGGTAAACTGACATATGGATAGTTAAATACATGAATATGGAAAATAAATAGAAAGATTGTTAGATAGATAGATGGTTATATATCGATAGATAGATTGATAGATAGACATACAAAAAGATAGATGAGAGAATAGATAGATGATGAACTGAAAGATTTGATTTGATAGATGGAGAGACATACATACATATATAAACAGATATAAATTAAACTTAAATGTATGGATAAGTATGTGTATGTGGTATAAGATAGACCGCAAATGCTTTATGTAAATCTCATGCTGATATCAATTGTGAATGAGTATTATGTAGTTAGTTATATCCGACGTCTTTTTATGTTTTTCTCATGTTTTCTACTCATTTTCATCAATTTTTTTTTTTTTTTTTGTGGTTAGTGATTTATTTCCTGATAGCACAGGAGGATAAAAAAAAAACATAAAAAACTTGTGCCGCTTATCACATTGTCATTTGTTGTGCCTGTTGACAAATTTGCAACGGGCGACAGTCGCCGTTGCCAACCCTCGCCCCACTCACGCGCGCTCAATAGGCACGTCATGAAAATTGTGGGAAATGGGAAAATGCATTTGGTATAGCACGAAAATCCTTTTTATTGCGCCTGCCTAACGTTGACTGACAATGTCTGTTCCATTTGATTTAGGGCTTCGGGTCGAGGACTGCTTCAACTGCTGCTGCCGCTGCTGCTTGGCACCGCAGGACATCAACAGGACACTCGCGTATTTCATATCCGGGCTGTGGCTTTGTCTTCAACTCATTTTGGCTGCCAACTAGCTGCACTTTCTGCCCCCCTCCTGCCACGCTGGTTGCCTTTCACACTATAAATCTTCGCAGGACTCGTGAACTATGACAGCCATGGCAATTGCCGTCAAGCAAGTCTCTTAAAACCGGTTCTCAACTTTTGAGAGAGTTGCAGTTTCCCCGATAGTAGCTATCTAGCTGACATTCCATTCACAAACTTATTTATACCCTGTCCGCAGGGAATGTGGGGTAAATGCCTTTATTGAATGCGTATGCAAGAGGAGAGACGTAAGAGAAGAATAGAGAAAGAAGTCTGGTAGATCCTATAAAAACTATATATGTACATATATTTGTAATCATGATCAACAGTCCAGTTGATCCACTCTTGTCTTTTTGTTTGTCAGTCTGTCCGGCCGTCCGTCTGACCATCCGTCTGTCTGACGGATCACGTACTGAACATATATCCAACTGCTGATCCGGACATCCATCTGGCTCTCCGAAATTCTGTCAGCTGATCCGCTCGTTCGTATATGAAACCGTGTCCTCATTTGCTTATCTGTACCTCTGTTCTTCTAGCAGTCGAAAATTCCATCTGGCTATCCGGAATTTCGTCCATTCTTCTCCCTGTTTTTTTGTTCGTTCGTCCACCACTAAGAGTGTTCGTCAATCTAACTTTTCCCATTGATCTCGGAGAGCACTACACCTAAACACTTATTCTTAACCCTACCCTGAGCACATACATAACCTAAGACGATCAGAGAATGAGTTTGCTTAGAGAGTATCCCTTGGTGGAATAATCTAGACTGAACTCTTTCTATAAACAGATATTTTTACTCAAGGATAAACTTTCTGGAATAATCAACATATGCATATTTTTACTAAATATTTTTTTCTACAAATATCATTTAATATTTACTTAGCTATAGTTTCGTTTGCAGCTCCAACTACGCCTCAATATTTATTCTATGAAGCTCTGTTACCAATATTTTATATTAAGTAAAATTAAATAGTTTTATAAAAGTTTTTTTTTTTTTAATTTATGAGTCAGCAATATGAAAGGCATGTAAAAAATCAGTAAGCTAAAAAAGGAAAGCCGTAAGTAGTTTTCTAGTCTTCAATCAAATACCAAAGAACTCTTAAATTATCTTAGGTTTCTGACCTGAAAAATAGAAATCTAATACAATGTTATAATTCTATAAATTATTAGTTAATTTCTTAATGCATTTCCCTCTAATTTTGTCAAGTTTTATCTAGTCGAGTTCTAGCCTAGTCCCCTGCATTTGTTTGCCTTGCAATTGATTATTCTCACTTTTCTTAATTGAAGCTTCTTATCAAATGCGCATTTATCTCACTTCAAATAGTTGTTAAGCATTTGGCTTAAGCACACGTACGGTTGTACTAATCAAATGAGGTTGTCAAGCAGTTTGATTAAAATTCTGCAGACATGGCCGAAAGGCGCCCCGCCCACTCGACCCGATTGCACGGAATGTCTGCTCACATTCTCGCATTGGCAGTCGGAATGCTAAAGCGTTATTGAAATGTCTTAGCAGCTGTCCAAACAAACTCACCCTCTTCGCCTGGCAACCCCTTCAGGCGTCTGCTGATTTAGCATATTGACTGCTCCAAGGAGCAACTTATACAAGATTTATGGGGGGGCGACAGCAGAGATAGAAAGGATTTGTGGTGTGACCCACGGCCAGGACGGATGCGAGCGAGTGCAATAAATTTGATTTGCATATTAGGACACACGCACACACAGCAGCCAGGACAAGGCCAGGACATGTCCAGGACTGTGGGGTAAAAGCATTTCGGGCACGAAATCTTACTTAAATTGGGAATAAATCATTAAAAATATGTGTGAGGACTCCTTTGTCCAGTTAATGGGCAGGAGCTTTGGCAACAATCTCAAGCATTTGGCCAACGGGGGAGATCTTCTAATTCCCTTTGATTTATAAAGATAACGGCACATTGTCATGTGACCACATTTGTTGGCGTTGTTGTTGTTGTTGTCATTGTTGCTTTTAGTTAAGATCACAAACAAATATGACTTATGCCAAAAAGTTTTCTAATTATGCATGCTCAGACTTACGAGTCCTTTGGGGCAATCCTCGGACACTTTTTAGCTGACCAACTGAAAGCGAAAGTTTTCATGGCTGACATTTTTGATAGAGATAGAGAACGACTGAGGGAGAAAGAGACGGGGCAAGCGAATCAGAGCTGCCTGTCTGTGTATGTGTGTGTGTTGTGTTTATGGCACACGCCGCAGTTCAATGGCCACAAATATGCGGCCAGGGAGCGATTGGCCAGGTTCAAAGGCCAAACTGATTTGCCTGCCAAACTGCAAACTCCGAGCTGTAAACTTCTTCTTCGGTCTGTGAGTGCATTAAAAGCCAAAAGTGCAGCGTCAGTCAAAAGTGGGTTTTAAA